TGCACCGCGGCCATCAGCCCCGCTTTTCTCTTTTCCTCCATGATTTCTAATCTGCTCACATCACCCACGGGGGAAAACTCCCGAGGGGAGCGGATCTGGGCGTGAGCGGCTCCCGGTAGTGTTGTTGCCACCATGCGCTTTCTGCGTGGCTCCTGGGGGGCCGCTTTTAAGGTGCTGAAGATACAGAGCGCCCGTACCTAGGGCCGCGGCGGGACCTGCCTGATGCTCCGGCCACGCCGTGGTTTTGGAATGGGACACGCCTGAGGCTGTCCCTGTCTCCCCTGTGTCCCAGGTGTCCCAGGCTGTCCCCTAAAGCAGCATGAAGCCACAGCCAGGCTGGCCTGGCTTCCTGGCCGGGTCAAGCTTAGTTGAGAGTGTCCTGCTTCTTCCCATTTCCCCTAACTCTGACGCTTCCCTGTGCCCGGGAGCGGTGCGGATCCCCGAGGGGCACGGCTGCTCACGCCCCTCAGCGCCAGCCGCTGCCACCCACCTCCCCTTCTCCGCACTCATCTGGGAGAGGATCGCGGGGCGCGGAGCAGCGCCCTCGCACCTTGGAGCCCTCTCGTCACCTTTCCCCAGAGCCGACCCCTCACCCTCAGGGCCGTGGGCTGCGGGGCGCCCAGAGACCCCTCGCAACTCCAGAGCCCCGCGGGCTGCCCTACGCTTGTTCAAATTTATCATAACAAGTTTGTCGGTCAGTGCAGCATCCCGAGCGCGGTGCGGTGTTTTACTGTGCACCTTGCGCGCCTTTCTCGGCAGCGTTCCAGCTTCGGGCTCTGCGGCTTGTTTCGGGGCTAGCCTCGCTGGTCGCCTGCTTGATCACGGAGTGAGTTTGATCTCTTAGTCAGAGACTCGCCCATTTATTCAGGGCGCACCAGCCCTTCCATGTGCACAACCCCGCTTTTTGAGACGGATTTTCCGCTGGCTTTAAAACCCCTTAGCTGGAAAGTTGCGCATCGATTCAGAGCTGACACACCCCGAGAGCCTCTAAGAAAAGAAAAAAAAAAAAAAAAAGAGAAAGAAAAAGAAAAAAAGGAGAGAGAAAAGAAGAGGAAAAAAAAAATCCCCCTTGTTGTTTTGTTTCTGCCTAAAAGCCCGTAGCGTGGAGCATCCCTCCAGGGAGCGCCGCTCGGAGGGGTGTTAATGTGGTCGATTTGGGGTACAAATGTTTGGAAATGTTTCCCGATTCGCACAGAAGGAGGGGGGATTTGCAAACTGTTGCTGCCACATGGCCCCTCCAGCCTGCCCATTCTCATTGTAATGAGGCCG